GTAGACCTTAATGAGATCGAGGCCAAGCCTGGTCTACAAAGTGAGTCCCAGGACAGCCAGGACTGTTACACAGAGAAACCCTGTCTTGAAAAATAAATAAATAAAACGCCATTACTTGGCTCTCTGTGTATGTGTGTCCACCCTGTACATTGTGCGTCCTTCCAGGACACTTCCGTGCACAGTCCTTGCTGCACTCATCCTAAGAGTTTCACCTGTCACCCTCAGACCCTCTTGTCGCACACTGGCAACATCATCCCTCATCCACATCATTTTGTCCTGCACTTGATCAGAAAGCAGCGCGCGGGTAGTAAGGATTTCCCGAGGTCCCTGTAGCATCACAGAGCAGCACAGAGTGAGATGCTGTGTAAGCTGTCACAAAATGTTCAGAAGTTATGCAGAGGAGAAGGCCAGGAACTGGGGTCTATGTCCTTGTCAAAGCTAAAGTGAAAACTCTAAAGCAGAGGACTGCAAGACCACCATGCAGGGTATCCACCACAACACCAGGGAACAGCATTACTGCCACATCTGGGTGAGCCAGGTGCACTGGCCCTGCTGCCAGTCACTTCAAGCCATGTCCCTGCAGACAGGCTGTGGGAAAAGAAGAAGCTGACTCATTGGTTTCCCCTTATTTCTTCACGGTAAAATTACGCGCTGTTGAAAACCTCCGGCTCAGGAGGAACCCAGAAGATGAAAAAATTACCACCCTTTCCTGCCATCTGAACAAAGATGCCCATCCCCTCTGTCTTCTGAACTAAATATGCAAGTTCACTAGCAGTGAATCTAATTTCAACAGCCCTCCTGTTCCTTGGATGGCTTGATGATGCATAATTTAAGTTGACTGCCCTGTAGGCCTCTAAAGTCCTATGGAATAATGCATATATACTATATATCTGCATGTTTAGAACTATCTGTTCAACCCATGTGGATACTGTAAAATTAGAGATCCAATTTCAGACATTAGATTTTTAATCCAGGATTCCATTCAGCCCAAATGCAATAAGCAATTTGCACCACATAGAGACAGTGTTCAAACACAGTACCCTGGGAAGGTTGCACCAAAGATGAGAGCCTCCCTCCACCTGCCTGGGGACTGATCAGAGCAGGGCATCTCCCAGCTCTTCTCAGGACCTTTATAGCAGAGCTGGAAGGAGAATTTGCAACACAGAACCTGGTAAACCCTAGAAGCCTTGGGTTCCCATCTCACCAGTGTCACCCCAGTGAGGAAAGCCGGTTGACTAACCCCGGCAGCCAGGCAACCTCAGAGACTGGAATGCTCGGGTGTTCCAGGAATGCCGCTGTGAACCGGCAAAGAATCGCGGTCACACACATGAAGATCATAAAAGTCTCCCTCTTCAGCTTCAATAGGAACACGTTTCACAGTCACCTTTCTGTGACTTTGGCATGAAATACAGCCCAAAGCTGGATCTCCCTGTGAGTGTAGTCTGCGTAGGGCCTGTCACTTTGCTGTTGTCAAGGCCTGTGGAGAATGAATGATGTTCCCTTTTACAAGATGAATCTGTTCCCAAAATGTCTTCATTCTTGGTGGCGGAACAGGCTGTCTCCTGATGGACACAGACAAGCACCCTGAGGCAGCCACGCCAGAGTCAAGTGACAGCCCAGCTGACAGCACCCTAGACTTCTCTAAAGCATGTGACCGCACTGAGACAAATGGCTCACAAACACGACGAGAACCCAGCCATGAGATCCAAACAGCTGCCAACACCTGCACTGTCTGCGTCTCGCCACTGAGAGCGAAACACGCCCCGTTGGTTGCCACTGATAGCTTCCCTAGTCTTCCCTATATGCAATCCATGCACACATCTTACAAAGAAGAGCAGAGGAAGACTAAATAGTTTTTACTGTGCGCTACATTTTATATCAGGAACAGAAGTTCCCGTATCACCAAAGTTAAGGGCATAAAATGTTGAAGCAATACAAGAGATAACCATGGCTTAGAGTGGTAAGACCGGACTGCCTGTAAAACTGCAAAGACAGGTTAGCTTTTATCGTGAAAATCATTGGCTATCATCAAATGATGTATGTGCAGAAGCTGATGTTTAGAAAAGTTTCTAAATTCACCCAGGAGTCAGCTTGCTCTGCAGTTCTCCATCCATCTATAACCCACCAACCCTGAGTGAAACAAAGGTGGTACCCCAGAAGTTGTGGCATCTCTAGTTAGTAATCCTTTTACCAAAAATGGGTTTCAGGTAGGAGAGACCCAACTGTACTATTTTGGCAGCAAATTAGAACAAAAGGTGGCTATATTTGAGCCAGAGGCAGCAACTGGAATCATAGGTATCAACAGAGATGCCCCTGACCACATGGGCAGCTACCATGGTCCAGGGCACACAGCTGTTGGGCTCTGACCACCTAGGGTAGCTGCCATGGTCCAGTGCACACAGATGTTGGGCTCTGTCCACCTAGGGCAGCTGCCATGGTCCACTGCACACAACTGTTGGGCTCTGACCACCTAGGGCAGCTGCCATGGTCCAGTGCATACAGCTGTTGGGCTCTGACCACCTGGGAAGCTACCGTGGTCCAGTGCACACAGCTGTTGGGCTCTAACCACCTGGGGTAGCTGCCATGGTCCAGTGGACACAACTGTTGGGCTCTGACCACCTGGGTAGCTGCCATGGTCCAGTGCACACAGCTGTTGGGCTCTGTCCACCTAGGGCAGCTGCCATGGTCCAGTGCATACAGATGTTGGGCTCTGACCACCTGGGGAAGCTGCCATGGTCCAGTGCACACAGCTGTTGGGCTCTGACCACCTGGGGTAGCTGCCATGGTCCAGGGCACACAGATGTTGGGCTCTAACCACCTGGGGCAGCTGCCATGGTCCAGGGCACACAGATGTTGGGCTCTGACCACCTGGGGCAGCTGCCATGGTCCACTGCACACAGCTGTTGGGCTCTGACCACCTGGGGTAGCTGCCATGGTCCAGTGCACACAGCTGTTTGGCTGGGTTTACAAGGTACACAGATCTTAATCTAGAGGCAAAATAAAGGTCTCATTACTAAAATCACTGAAAGTGGATAAAAGCAAAAAGTGTCTCAAAGTGAAAAACTGAATTAAACTCAGGGCTGCAAACATACTGAAAACTCTACCACCATGCCACACCTCAGCTGTGTTCTGGAAAAGATATGTTGCATTTACCTTTGTGCTTCAAAAAGCCTCACACCCATGGTTTCCCATCACAAAACATCAAAGGCCAGAAAAGATTGCTCAACTGGTGCTTCAGTTCTTTTGTAAACAAACTCCAAAACGAGGTAGCAAAGAGAAAAGTGGTTAATGAACTCATCTATCTTTTTACCTCATTCACCAAAATTAACACAAGCAAAGAGGTTAGGGCAAACCAATGATATACATTATTTCAAAACAAGTCATGTTTAATTCAGAAACACCGAGCTCAGTGTAGGCAGTCTTCCTGGGTCTAGGAGCCAACAAGCAACATTCTCAGGAAATGAAAAAAAGAAAAATTCTTGAGATGACAACATCTTCCGAACTCACTTGAAGCTTTGCATACAGCAAAGAGTCTCAAAATACCCAAAACTCATTTCAGTCCTCACAGTCCACTGACATCATGCTCAGCTTGTTTTCATTGCCTTGATGATGCTTATAGGACAGCAGAAGTGCCTTGGCCCATGGTCCTTCTCACACCTCATTACTGTGCTTCTTCACAGTACGTGTCCTGCGTTTCCACCACTGACCATGCCTGCCAGAAAATGCAGGCTTAAAAACTATCCAACTGTGTTATAATTATGTTTCTCTATAAATATAGTAAATAAGATACAAATATGTCTCAGTGGCAAGAAACACTTTGAAAAAGGATGACATCAGTAACATAATATATTCACATTTCTTAATTAAAAACTGAAAATGCATGCCCCCCAAATCTTTGTATTTACACAGAATATGCAACATAAACATGACTCTTCACCCCTCAGTGATGATGCCTATTTATATGCATAGTGTGGCAGTGAAAATCTCACCAGAGCAGGCCCCTGTGTATCCTCATAAAGGCAAACAAACTATCTGGAAACCTCTGTTTCATACCCAAAGCAAAATATCCTGGAACGAGCCAGGAGTGGTGGTGCAAACCTTTAATCCCAGCACTTGAGAGGCAGAGGCAGGCAGATACCTGAGTGCAAGGCCAGCCTGCACTACAGAGTGACTTCCAGAACAGGCAAGGCTGTTATACAGAGAAACCCTATCTCAAAAACCAAACAAATATATCCAGGAGCATGCACTTGTGTCTGTGGAGACACTATAGGTTTTAGGGATGTGCAAGCTCTACAAAACCCTTCGTAGACATCACCACATCCACTGTCGGCTCCTCGGATTCTGAGATTGTCATTTTAATGAAAACAACTTCAGTGAGAGGCTATCTTCATGGAATAATCAAAGCACAGATCCGCAAGATAGCACACCTTATATCTCATCGTTAATGTTTAAAGCAACCAAGTTCCAAAGTGGCTTTTAGACCTCTTTCTCCCCATCGCATTTCCTTAGAAGCAACGCAGAGCACTTATGCTCTGCCCACACCATCCATCCAGGATACAAAGCTGCAGGACAACACAAGTGCCCACTGCAATATCCCTAGTCTTCTTGACTCGCCCAAAGCCTGAAGAACATGCATATGGCTAACTCCCACCCTATGTTGCCAATGTATACCCCAAACCAGCCAGAAAAAAACAGTACTCTTTTTAGTAAATAAGTATAACAACCAAAAAAACAGCTTTGGAGATGATATATTCAACCTGATTCAAGAAAAACAGGCAATTTCCCATAAAAATCCAAGATTATAAGCATCCGAATCCATTTCTTTGGTCAGTAAAAACAGAAATTTTAACTCGGCTTGCAACTCAACACAGAACTTCTTTCAGTTATCAAATAATCACTCACACACACCTGCAAAAAGCCTCCACAACATCTACCGTCAAGTTTCTTTGTGTCACTGACACACAACCTGTGGCCTCAGACCAGGAGAAGGTAGATCTTACCTGTGTTCCTGTCTGGTAAGATGCAGCAATGTTTCTGCAGGATGCCGGGCAGAACCTGTTTCAAAACAAATAAATAAAAAGCACTCGGTTGTTATTCAAGCAGAGGTGAGGCATCTCATTAACTGCGGTGAAGGACTTCTCTAATACGATCATTCAATGTTGTACAAAGTCATTGCGGCCAAGATGGTCTCAATAATCAACCCGTACAGAAAATGCTGATGACATACAGTTTTCATCAAAAAGGTTAATCAAGTAAGTGTGTTGATTGTATATGGCTCTCCTGGGATGTGGCTGTCACTGGGTAATGCACACCCTGATGGTCCCTAAGAGATCTGGAACACGACTCTGGAGGGACTGCTGTGTGTAGGGAAATGGGCACACCAATTTTCCTGGTGGCTTTTAAAATATTAGGTGCATTTAGAGCCTGACAATGGAGCCTTGCTGGGACATTATGCTGGGTCTTCACTGGGGAGCTAAGCTCAGCTGCTCTCTCATACCTCATCCAAAGGATTTGGGAGAAAAATGTAAAACAAAAAGCTGTGTTTAGAATCTAACCTTGGTAGCAAAAGGTGAAGGAAGCGCCTCATTGGATTTGAGGGTGGAAATAACAGAATCTGGTTTTGTCAAGGAAATTCTACAATGAAAAGCTTCTGCAGAGCACAGAAAAAATCTGCAGTGGGGATTCTCGACAGGAAACTTACGCTGCTGCTTCCTAAGCTGCTCAGAGCAAAGCCAATCTCTACCTGCTCCACAAGACCAGGCACGGTGGGCCCTCAGTCAGCAGTGGCAGCTGTCCAGAGCTGCCAGCCAGGAAGGCTCTGTTACTTCAGAGCAGCAAGCTCCGTACAGGGGACAGAGGTATCCCAGGAAATACCAGGAACCTTACACCCACCCTTGTGGACTCAGATGAATCACTCCCCGTTTCAGCCGATCTTACTTCCTGCACTTTTCCAGACTACCTTGTGTACGACAAAGAACATTTTTGTTTATCCTAAATATAATTGGCTACACATAACAGCATGGAGAGTTTTTTTTTACTCTGGTAAAATCTGTTAACAACAAGAATCAAATAAAATAAATCAATAAGCAAATCGATATCTCGCAAATGCTATGGGAAATATGGAATGAGAACTCAAAAAAACATATTCTGATTTTTGACTACTGCATTGGGACACAAACCACAGTTTGTGAAAACCTCATTAAATTCATCTTCAAGAGCATGACAAAAACCACAGTGCCAACTCTGGCCTCTGATCTAGAGTATTTGGTGTTCATGGTCTCCATCAACCAGGACCACCCCTGTTTGTTTCTGACTCCTCCCAACAACAGACCTGAACATTCAATGCTCAGGATGCAGGAACATAGAGTTACAAGGGGCAATTTCTCATGGACCATGGCCCTCCCATTGGGAAGCTGAAGCCAGATCCTGAAGGTCATGGTGTCCATGGGAAGGTCTAACCTGTGGACTACTAGGTTGAGGAACAGAATGTCAGTCTGTGTGGCATGTGACCTTAAAGACTGATCAACCCTTCCAAGGGCAGCCACTCTGAGTCAAGCTCTCCGGATCCAGCCAGGTAGACACGCGGTTCTGGAACACTGGTGACTTCATACTCAAGCTTCCTTCTTCTCCTCAGAGTTTCCCCAAGCTGCTGCTACCCACAAAATCCACTCGACAATCCAGGTATCTCACTTATGAACCCTCTGAAGCGGCACTCCCTCCCTGCCACAACCGCAAATCTTTTTTCTTTTCTTTTCTTTTTTTTTTTTTTTTTGAACATGCCAGGTAGCTTTCATCTGGTCCCAAACAGGAAAATATAAGGAGCCATAAGAAGTCGTAAACAGTCCATGGTAGAATTCACCTTGACTTTCCCAACGACAGACGATTTGTGTTCAAAAACAACGCCCATATCTAATCCTGACAGTCTCCTCCCAGCCGTGGTCCCGGGGAAGACACGTGCACTAAATCTTGAATACAGCCACAGCCTCTCAAATGCCAGGCACACATCACCTCCTCGCAGCCAGCTTAAGGGAACAACCAGGTGGGACCGTAATGGGTTTATTTCCTTCTCTCTGAAGGATTTACAGAAGGCAGCAAAAGGGAGAATGAAATTATCTCGCCTGCCCAAAGGCACTTTAAAAAGTTCAAACCTGCCTATTCTTTGAGAGCATTTAACTGCTGAAGGTAATTGGAGACACTGTGCTCTGCTCTTCTTCAGAGTCAGGAGAGAGGGACCCACAAATTCAAAGACCCCCAGAGACTCCATCAGTACCACCCAAGGTCTGGGGATGTCCATCGTTCTGAGAAGACCCCTATTGGTAACTATGATTGTAGGGTCAGATTCTTTCAACTGGAGATCCTCTTCCTAAACAAGAACTCCAACGACTCAGTTGTCTGAATCCTCCTTGCTCTCGAGGTACCACCTTCTTAGATCAAAGTTGAAAACATACCAGGGAAACCGACGCTGCTACAGTATTAGCTGAAGACAGTTTAGGATTCATGTATCTGGCAGCTCTGGTGTATTTCACATGATCCAGGCTACACTAGCCAAGACCTGATGCTTAACAGTGTGGACACCGAACTCATCTTTTCTATGGGGAGGTGACGCGAAGGCCCAGGTGTAGGAGGAGACTTTAGCACTGCTAGCCTGCTAGCCATGTGGTGCACTAGAGGCGCAAACTGATGTGGTAAAGAAAGGGCGGTGAACCCCACCGCTAACCACACCCACTTTGGGCGTGGCTACAGCACATCCATAAGTCCTAAAGTCTCCTCCTACACCCAGGGAAGACTCAGGGCTCTGGTCATCCACACACTACCTCTGGCTAGTCTCATCTCATCCTCCTCAGGTCCCAGGTGACAGTAGCCGCTGCCTGTCCCTAGATACCCAGAAAATACACTTTCCTCTGCACCCCCACTGACATCCTTAGGGACTCTGTGGTCCTCTGATCTTTGACCCTCCCATCACCTCTCACCTCTGAAGTGGGGAACATAACAGTTCATCTGTTTGAAGTCCATGTGATCTGGGAAAATTCTCATTTTAATCATTTTGCCACAAAGTCTGCAGGCCTGAAGTCCAAAACCGATGTATACTCCAAGAATGGCTGCTCATGACTCTCTACTCCTGTGGCTCCTGGCACCCTGGCTTATCACCACATCCCACCAGTCTCCACCGTGTCCACGCGGCCTTTTCCCTATCTCTCTACATGGGCTTCCCTCCACAAGTATGTCAGCAAATCTTCTCTCTGCATGTAAACACTAGTGTGACCCACTATTCACACTTGCCCGTGATCCTCCCTCCATTCACAGGCACCCACACGGTCTTCCTTCCATACATGTGTGCCCACATCCCCATGGCCTTCTCGCCACACATGTGTGTTCACCCTCACATGGTCTTCCACACATGTGTGTCCACACCCGCACGGTCTTTTCTCCATACATGTGTGTTAACACCTATTGGGTCTTACCTTCACATACATGCCCAACTACACCATCTTTTCCTCTCCAGCATGTGCCCATGTGTCCTTTTTGCAAATGGAGAGTCCAATTCAATTAGAGCCCGCCCTTGCCTCATCTACCTTGGTAAAGACTTCTAGGACGCTGTATCCAAATTGGGGCATATTCTGAGGTATATAGGGGAAACAGAATTCAACCCATAATATGGAAAGACACTGCAGGTAGGGAGTTCCAGTCTTGGAGTTCTCTGGCCTTGAATTTGCCACGAGATAATAAGCCCAGAGCTTCTTCAAAATGTAGCTTGGACTCCCCTGGCTACCAGGAGTCTTTGTGTTCTCGCCATCACATTACTCTCTAACAAGCTCCTTGTTCTCTCTTCCCAATCTCCATGTTTTCCCTTCACAATGACCTTTGGGGTGGCAGCTCACTCATTCTGGAACTGAGCATAGCCTAGGCTTGACATCCTTTCCCTGTGTCCCCCTGCAACAAAGTCTCATGTTCCTAGATCTGTCCCTTTCCCCAGCTTCTGGGCCATTCTACCTACAACTGCTGGTTTGAGCTTATATTTACCTTCAAGCTGTCCCAACCATGCTGAGCCCCCACATTGAACAGAAAACTCCATGAGCGGGTGTAGGGTGTGTTCTGGGGACTCGGAAGTCACATGCATTGGGTATGTGCTGAGTAGAGCCTGAGAGAAGACAATGGTTCTGGCAACAGTTGGTCAGGCATAGCATCTTGGCCGCATGCTGGAACCAGGACATTCCTGACCATCCACTTTCCCCTGAACCCTCATTCGCCATCTAAATAACCACAGGGTGTTAGAGTTTCTTCAGATGACCATCACAAGAAAGTCTCCAATGGAGATAAGGGGCTCCCTGCCTCCTTACATCATTCCTCTGGTCAGGCTTCCTCCTGCCAAGCTCTCACTACTCCTGGAGACTCTCAAGGAGTCTCTAGACTAGCTCCAAATTGGGCCGTGGGGCTCAGCAAAACACCAGCAGGATTCTGTTCCCCTTTGTGAACTGGGAACAAGGCACTGGAGCACTGAGGGCATGGTGCATGTGTGACGCTTGTGACCACCCTGACCTGAGTCAGATGTCCCTATGTCAAAAGACAGCACTATGTGAGGGTGATCAGTCTCAAAAATAAAAAGGATTGGGGTCCTCCATATGCTCATTAGACCCCATTCCAAAAACCTAAACGTCTGCTCCATAATGTCTCTGTGTTCTCTCCCAAACCTTGTAGAGTAGCTCTCTAAGCTGAATCTAATCCTGGTGATCAATGATGACCTGATTCATCCCCTCCCTGAGACCATTGCCCCGTTCTCCCACACACCAGGGTCTATTGTCTTCCGAACAATGACACTCACTCTATTCCTCAGCAAAGAAACAGTCTACTTCCTATTCATAGAGAAGATGAGGCACTCACTCTGAAGTATAGCTAGCATGCACCAGGTGAGGGATTTACCCTGTAATGTAAACCTGTGTGCCTGATGGACCCACACTCTGGGTCTACCTGAGTGACGATGGAGACTCGTACCCTCCAATTCTCAGGAACTTTGGTATTTCTTTTCTGTTTCCTCTTCCTGGAAATCCCATTATTTA